CGCCGGGCGCCCCGCGCGGCTTCCGCCCCATATGATAATATTCTTGACTGAACCAAAATACACTGGATTCTGGATGGAAAATCCCATTTTGTATACTATGAGATGTACAGTGAATGAATATAAATAAATAAATTTAAAATAAAATTAATTAAAAAATGTAAAAAAAAACAAAACTATAGGATGTATTTACCTGCTTGCCTAAAATCCAAAGAGAAGACTGCAGAAGGGATTGTAGTGTGGCCATACTCCTGGGGAGTGATTTCTTGCTTTCTGTCTCTCTGTCTTTCCTGTGAGCACATGCACCCCATACCGAAAATCTCTCTTAAAAAAAAAAAATCGAAGACCTTGACAAGACTACTGTAGCCTATAGCCTATCTTCTCATTCCAGTTACACTAACTTCTTTTATTTACTTATTTAATCAGTTCCACTTTCTGGCAGACTTTATTTGCTTTTATTTCTGTGATTGAAGGTGTCATGGAAAAATTAAATTATTTAGGATATTGAAAGAGGTGTATTCTAAGCCAGTTGGAGTGACTGTGGTCCAGGAAACACCAACTGAAATAGCCTTGAGAAAGTGCTTTGAGGAAGTTGGGTGGCAATAGGTGTTCTATACATTTCAGAAAAACAGAAGCCATAAATTAATACATGGAAGTTATACACAGGCTTGGCCTGAAAAGGCAGGATATCTTGAAGTAGGGGTGGAAGTAGGGGGCTGGGGGGCCTCCAGGTCATAGGTAGATTCAGAGGTTCTTTAGTTTATTATCAGCCAAAAGAGCAAGATTCTGTTAGACTTGGGGGAAATACAAAGGAATGTTTACTTAACTCAACACAGATAAGAAAGTTTATGAATCATCACATGATGTTATGCCAGGGCTAGGGTATAAGATATAAGCTGTGGGGCCAGCAGGTGGCATGGTGGTTAAGGGTGCTGGACTCCTGCATGGCCAGTCATGGTTCAAAGCCTGGATCTGGCGTCTTGAGTTCTCACTCTCCCTCTCTCTGTCTCTCACTCTGTCCCTCTCTAGTCAAATTCAAAACAACCATTCAATCAATCAATAAATAAAGTTGAATGAAGGAATTCTTTAAAAAAAAAAAAAGAAGAAGAAGAAGAAGTAAGCCGCAGTTACTGAACCAAGGTCATCTGTTTAGTAAGATTGATGGTATATAGGCATGACTCTCCCCAGACCTCTTAGGAAGGAAATTTTAGAACAAAGAATTTAATACTGAAAGCAATGCAGATCATTCTCTTCTTGAATTCAAGTAAACGTTTCCTGTGACATGACTCTAAATGTTATTCTCATTATTCTTTTTTTTTTTAATTTTTTTTAGAGGTTTTTGCTATAGGGCGTATGCGCTCGCCAGACAGAGGACAGAGAGACAAAAAGCGAGAAATCACCCTTCAGGGGTGATGGCCACACCACAATCCCTTCTCCTCCATTCTCCTCTCGGGATCTTGGGCACGCACACACACGCGCCCAGCTTGAGTTTTAAGCCACCGGGTCCGAGCCACGAACCGTGGTTGACTACGTGGGAGTCCAGCGACATAGCCATTATGCTAACTGCTGATCCCCCCCTCTAGTGATTCCCCCCCCCCAGTAGACTCTTAGGGAGCTTATGTAAGGGGCATCTGTAAGGTAGATTTGTCACACATTATTCAAGCGAGGTGGAGGAGAAGGGATTGCGGCAGGGCCTTCCCCCCTGGGGGGTGACTTTTCTCAAAAAAAAAAAAAATCAGGTAAAATTTTCTTGATTTTTGTTTATGTTTAATCATCATTGTTTCTTAGCACTCTAAACTTTTAATTAGCTTTTATTAGCTTTTAATATAGCTTTATTTTATCTGCAAGACTACCTAAAACTTGTTTCTTTGCTCCTTACAAATCTTTTTCTCTGGCAAAGCTTGATGTTTAGGTGTGAGAATTGGTTATTTAACGCAGTGGAGTAAGTCCCATGCTTTCATAAGGATTTTCAAAAGATAATACCATTCACTAGCTTTTAAAGTTTTTCTCCACCTCGGTATTTCAATGTTTCAGTGCCTTTTCAGAAAGTACCTTGATTATTTCTAATTTACAGGCACACGTGAATCCAGAGCATTGTCAGGTGCAGATAGTTCATGATTATACCACTTACTGCAGTAAATTGGCAGCAGAACACCCATTCCTGTCAGGGAAATGACACCCTCTACATAATTCACAGAATTGTCTCCGATGTCACCCTAATGAAACTGCTTGTGCTCTTTGCTCCCTACAAAGTACAGATTTTGTAATTGATTTGGACTTGATCTAAATGGAGTGTACCAAGAAATTAGCCAGTCTGTAATCAATGCAGAAATCAATGCTGGACTAGTGAATTATCCAAAGAACTTTCTCTTTTCCTGCCACTTCATTGGTGAAAAACATTTCCGGGTGTTTGTTAGGGAATCTGTCCCACAAAGACGGTAGGTAATATGATACCTTAGGGCAGTTTCTACTAAAATAAAAATAAAAGTTAATGGAAAAATAAATTTCTCTAGATCTATGAATGTACTACTGAGGAAAAGAAAATAAACACCACTATCACCTTCCCGTACACAGATACACACTTTCTTAGACTTTGGAGAAGGAGGTCTCAGAGCTATGAATTTTCAACAGATTACTTACATAAAGCTATGAAAAAATACACGACATGAGATTTTTTAAATGATCCCTGAAATATTTTTATAGATAATAATGCCCTTAATAATTCATATTTATTAATGACTCCAGTAGCAATGTGTTGATAAGTAATGTACTGGAAAGTATCACTATATATCACTATATAGTTAAAAGTTGATTAACAGAAATTTGTGCTAAATAAATATATAGGAAGTACAGTGGTGATTTGAAAGTATCCTATACAATGTTCCTGGAAAAACAACTTTATCCTTGAGTAATGCCTTGATTTTCACATATGAGTGAAACCCACAGGGCTTCTTTGTCAGGCACCAGAGAGCTCTTCTACCTGGCATTCTAAATACAAATACCAGAAACACTGTCCTACTTTATGTCATCTGGTAACATTAAAAAATCTTCAGTTGGTGGTTGATTTACTTGTTGTCTATAAGAAAATCTCCTAGGTAATTATTTAGGAGCACATGAGTATAAGATAAAGAATTAGAATGTTAGTAAGGGAAGATAAAGCAAGTAGACTTTGAACCACAAAAAAAAAAATCACAGATTTAAGCAGGGCAAAAGTGATAAAAAAAAATAGCAAAAAACCCCACTGTAGGTGGTTTTTACTTAAATGATGGGTATAAATAGAAGACATCAAAATAAGTGTCATGCTCTCTCTCTTTTTAAAGTGTATAAGCTTAAATAGACTATAGAAGACATAAACATTCAGGATAATGTGCAATGGTTATGTCGCTGGGCTCCCATGTAATCGACTATAATTTGAATCCCAGACCCGGTGACTTAAACTCATGCCGGGCACATGTGCATGTGTGTCCAAATCCTGAGAGGAGAATGGAGGAGAAGGGATTGCAGTAAGGCCATCCCACCCTGGAGAGTGATGTCTTGCTTCTTGTCTCTCTTTCTCTCTCTATCTCTCTGGTGAGTGTACATGCCCTATAGCAAAAATCTCTCTCTCAAAAAAAAGGATAGGGACCAGCAGTTAGCATAATGGCTATGTCACTGGACTCCTATGTAGTCAACCATGGTTCAAGGCCTGGACCCGGCGGCTTAAACTCACGCCAGGCGTGTGTGCGTGTGTGCCCAAGATCTCAAGAGGAGAATGGAGGAGAAGGGATTGCGGTGTGGCCATCTCCCCTGGGAGGTGATTTCTTGTTTTCTATCTCTCTGTCTCTCTCTGTCTTTCTGGTGAGCACATGCACCCTATAGCAAAAACCTCTCCAAAAATAGAAGTAAAAAAAAATTTAAAAAAATTTTAAAAATGGTACACACATTCATCCTCCTCAAGTTTCTAGTGTATTTGACCAAGGACAAACAGGTGTGGTGGCTGTCCACACATCTTGCCATATTTAAATGCAGCTTCCCTTGGCCACCAGAGACCCCAAGTGGGATATACAGCTGTTGATATTAGCTGCACAAGGTAGATTTCCCAGATCTGGAAGCTTGGTTTGTCCTGTACTTTTCTAAATACTAATGTATACCCAAGGACAGGACAAACCAAACTTTCCAGATGTATATCCTAGTATATATTAGTATTTGAAAAGAAATAATGTTTGCCCTTCTAGGGAAAAAAAAAAAGAAATTAAGACATCTGGGCTGCTCTCAATTCTTTTTTTTTTTTTTTTTAATATTTCACTGAAAAATTTTATTGGCAGAAATGGTCATTTAGTTGCCAGGAAGGATGACTCCATCATACTTCTGCTGGAACCAGTGCAGGCCCTCCTCTTTGCTGATTCTGTTTGGCCCCAGTGCAGCCTGTCCTGTGCTTGTCTGAGATGCTGAAATCTGGCCTACCCAGCACAACATAGAAGTCCAGGCCATAGATACCAATGCTTGGATTATATCTGATCCCCAGATTCATGTGTTCCTTGATCCCACAACCAAAGTTTCCAGTATCCAAGAAGTTATTTTTTTGTAACTCATACTCCCATACCTTTAAACCTTTCTCCAGAATTTTTTCTGCCTTGGCCCCACAGACTGCGCAGTGGACAGCAATCTTTTCATTTCTCCCAATGCCAAAGGATCTGACAGTGTATCTAGCTTTGGAAAACACAGGGGCCTGGCCTGTGAGCTGCTCCAACACCTTGGCTGCTCTGGTCAGTCTGTCTCCACTCTCCCCCATAAGGATGTTGAGGCACAGCTTGCGGAGGTGAAGTTCCCACATGGGGTTCTCTTTTTCACCCTGATCCTGTGCCATGATGGAGAACAGGAAGAGCCCACTCTCAATTCTTAAGTCAAATTTGGCAGCAAGTTTATTTAGAAAAAAAATGAGGCAGAATGAATGTCCCATCTATCAATGAGTAGCATTCTAACTGCAGCTTTCTGGGGTCTTAGATAGCTCATTTCTCCCCACATACGCTCTCCTTCTTCAATCTCATATCCCTAGATCACTACCCCAAAGCCAAAACTCAATAGGATATGAAGAAATGAATAATTAATTTATGGAAGAATCTTGGACAAGCTCAGTATTTGTGCATATTTGAGAGAGGTGATAAATCTTAGAATTATATCAATGTAACTCTACTACAAATTTTTTTTAAAATGTGAACAAAGAACCCTAAAGTCTATTAGTCATTTGGTATCTGCACGAAGAAATGGTAACCAAATACTATATTAGAACATAAATAATTAATCTAAATCTGAGACAAACCACACCAAGGAGGCAATGCTTATTAGCATTGTTGTGATTTTTTTAAACTGAGTCATAGTTTTTGTAAACTTTAATCAATATCGATTTCTTTCTTTTTTGATTCCTCCCTTCTCTGGCCATTCTACGAATAGACACAGATGGCCGTAAGCACTGTTTCCCAAAGCAGGGTACCTGCACTGCGATGGCACGTGAGGTGGTTTTGTGTGGCACAAGAGGTTTTATTTTCATAATCAATTAACAATATAGTGGAACACATCAACCTGTGACTTTGCAGACGTAAAATTTAAAACAAGTCCATGTAATAAAATATTAAGGAAATGACAATATGAGTGGCACTCAGGAAAACTGTGAAGATGGTACTCGATTTAATGCAGAAAATACTGCTTTGTATTACAAGGAAAGAAATTCTGAGTGTGAAGTAAGCATTTTTGTCTTTTTCCTTCCATAAAGTGAATGGCTCCTTAAGAAGAGACGTGGAATATCAATTTTGCATTGGATATTTAGAGAACATTATTTAGGATGTCCACAATCCTTATCAAGTCAAACTAGTCAACATCCACTGAGACATCAAAGAAAAAGAACAAAAAACAAAGAACAATCTGAGGAGCCACAAAAACTTAGAATGTACACACACACACACACACACACACACACACACACACACACATATATATAGCCTTAGGGCATGTGCACTTGCCAGAGACAGGAAGTGAGAAATCATCCTCCAGGGAAGATGGCCATGTCTCAATCCCTTCTTCTCCATTCTTCTCTCGGGATTTTGGACATACACACACACACACACACACACACACACACACACTCACGTGCCTGGTGTGATTTCTCAAGACATGGGGTCTAGGGACCAGTAGTTAGCGTAATGGCTATGTGGCTGAACTCCCATGTAGTCATCCGCGGTTTGCGTCCCCGACCTGGTGGCTTATACTCACACTGGGTGCGTGGGTGCATGCCCAAGATCCTGAGAGGCGAGGGATTGGGGTGTGACCATCCCCCCCAGGGGGTGATTTCTTGCTTTCTGTCTCTCTCTGTTTCTCTGGCGAGCAAACGCACCCTGTAGCAAAAACCTCTCAAAAAACAAACAAACAAACAAACAAAAAGACACGGGGTCTAGGGGCTTGAACAGTGGTCAACTATCTGAGAGTCCAGCACCTTAACACCACACCACCTGCTGGCCGCTATACAGAGTATTTTTTAAAAACTTTTATTTATTTATCTATTTATTTGTTGTGATTTTTAAGCCATCAGGTCCAGCTCTTGAACCATAGTCGGCCATGTGGCAATCAGCACCCCAAACCACCTGCTGGCCCCAGTACAGTATTTTTACAGAGAAAACTACATGCGTTAACCAAGAATGTTTGGTTGGCTAAAGATCTAATAATCAGAAATCTATGCAGAAAACACAGGGTGTCCAATCTCCGCTCAGCTAACTACTGCCCTTCTTCATGGCAGGTGCCACAGGAACAGAAATGGAGGAAAAGGATGAAGCACGGCAGCACTTGGGTGCCTGTGCTGGTTCTGCCAAAGACTGGTCATGTGATCAAAAGCAAACCACTGAGGTCAGAATATTTTACATATACAAATACATGCCTGTTTATGACTTATGGAGTATCTTCAATGAATGGTTTATCAACACATTGCTTTTCTTTCCACACAGATTTGCCATCGTGGATTTTTTTGGTATGTTTACATGCTTGCTTGTATGTGTTTATATTCATCAAGTTTGTGTAACATATGCTCTACAAAAAAAAGCAACAAGGACTCTCAATCTAGAAATGCATAAAGACAAAAAGTAAAAGCCTCTAATTATATCCACCTCAAAGTGTCATACCAAACTTATTAGTACAGGTGTCTTTCTAAGATCTCTGTGGTGCACATCTCTAGAGGGTGCAGCTCAGTAAATCACCGGAGTAAATGGTGAATGGCGTCTCCTTGAGTCATTCAGCCTAGCACATATGGTAGTTCTGTTTCCGAACCTGGAATTTTTAGTTGTTCTTCTGATATGACACACATATATAAGCGTGTATGTCTCCCTTATCATAATTGGAATCGTGTCACACATAATGTTCTACAGATGGCATATATTTTGGTGTCTGTGGATGTTAGTACAAAATATCTTTCTTTTTTTTTTCTTTTTCTTTTTTAGAGAGATTCCTGCTATATGTACTTGCTGGAGAGACACAGAGAGACAGTGACAGAAAGTAAGAAATCAGCCCCCCTCCAGGGCAGATGGCCACACCACAGTCCCTTCTCCTCCATTCTCCTCTTGAGATTTTAGGCATGCACGCACATACATCCAATGTGAGTTTGAAGCCTCTGGGTCCGGGACTCGAACCATAATCAACCACGTGGCAGTCCAGTGACTCAACCATTATGCCATCTGCTGGTCCCAGTACATGTATATCTCAACTAGCATATATTTGGCTTCTATGGAAATCAGAACATGTGCACCTGCTTCATTCTTCAGCAGGTGCAGCACACTCCATTTTACAATGTCTCATAATTTAAGCAATCCCTTATTAACAGAATTCTAGATTATATGTAAAATATATGTAAATTTGTGCTATAATAAAATGGTTGCAATAGTGAAAAGCTATATGCTATATGTTGCAGTGTTTTCCTCTTGTATGCTGAAATATTTCCATTAGAAAATTGGACCCATAAATTATTTGCGTGATTAAAATGTACCCACAGCTGAAATATACATGATTCCCTAAATATGGTTGCAAAACATTTGGTAGCCACAATCACACTCAACATACTTTTTAGTTATTATTTATTTAGTTCATTCTTCCAATAGACAGGAAGAGAGAAAGAACTAAAATAAACTGTTTTCACTGTTCCCTCCAGGACCAAATAAGAAGCATTTGGTTGGTTTGTTTGGATTTGAGGGAACACATATTCTACATTTGAGAATATTGCTAGCTCTTAGACTACTCAACAACAACAAGAACAACAACAAAGCAGAAACAAAAACTATTTCAATGGGGCCTTGAAAAAAGAGCAAGCCATGTTTAAACTACAAAAAGCAGTAGCTTTCCTAGCACCTTTTGAGCCCTATGATCCCGACTTACACATGATTTTGGAAGTGTGTACCACTGACACTCATGCAGACTGGATCTTATGGCAAATGCCTGTGAGCTCTTCCCGGCGGCAACCTTTGGGATCTTGAACACTCACAGATGCTGCCACCTGATACACACCATCGAGAGACAATTACTAGCCAACTACCGAGCACTAATTGAGAATTCCTCTAAGACTAAAGAACATAAAATAATGAAACTTAAAATACCCGTAATGTCTTGGTGATATCTGAGAGACACCCAGACAAAAAAGGCAGTGCCTAGAAGAATTTCCTAATAAAATGCAAATAGCTTATACAGAAGCATACTGCTGGTAAATACAAGGCCTCCAAACCATCCATGAGCTAGTAGCCTGTCTCTCTGTAGAACCAACTTTGGAAGCACTTGTGAAGCTCCCAGATTGTTACTTGAACAGTTCCATACAAACAGCTCCTGACTGACAAAAAGCTGCTTGGTTTATGATGACTGTGCCAAGATGATCGGATGACATTCTGTTTGAAAAGTTGCTGCACTAAAGCCAGTAGATGAGAAGTTTCTCACTGAAATAGATAAGAACAAATCAGCTCAGTAGGTTAAATTTCATGCAGTTTGGAAGTGATGGAAGAACTGAACAATGACAAAAGCCCATATATGGGCTTTTTATAGACTCAAGGGTAGTAGCCAATGGCCTGGCCATATGGTAAGGTAGATAAGCAATGGAAAACTGGACTATTTAAAGAACTCCTATAAAGGGAGTTCTATAGTAGTTACTCTGGGAATTTAAGGGCCACATTAAAGTAGCATATGGCAATGCCTATTAGAAGGACTTGCTTACAAGTTGGGAAGGTGACTGGAACCACCAAGTGCACTTTTTAGTGTGCTCCCTTGAGGTGGCCATTTGCATCCATACAATGAGTGACATGGGCGGGGGTGTGAAAAATGTGGCAATGCAGACATGGGCCAAATATAGACATAATCCTCTTGCACCCTCAGAGGCACAAAATGCCAACAAGACCTGTTCTGTCAATAAGAGAGAGAGACAACAGATAGTTTTAGGGAAGATTCCCTGGGGAGAAGGCTCCATGAATAGCTGGCATATAAATTACACTGGATTAAGCCTGTAACCCTAGGGGGCTATAAATGGGTTTTGACAGTAATAGATACCTATTCTAGACTGCCTTTTTCATACCTAGTAGTAGATGCAAATGCCCCAATACTGTCAAAGGATTGGAACAATAGACACTGTACCAGTGGGCCTTTGAGATATATTTCTTCAGACCAAAGGATGTGCTTTACAGTGGTAAAGTAATTCCACATCAAATGAACATATCATGTTGCTGATCATCTTCAGATTACTGGTTTGATAGAGAATTGGAATGGGCAATTGAAACCTTTGCTGTCTAAAACAGGAAAACAAAATCACGAAGAAGCTGACTTACATGTCTTCATGAGTGTGTGCTTACACCGATATAAGAAGGGTTAACACTGGATAGATTCTTCCACTTTTCTGGGAGACTTTGGGGAAAGATGTAGAGAAAGATTCCAGAACCAGTGTGTCTGGTTTGGGGGTCCCAACTCTGCTTTTTACTATGTGATCTTCAGCAGTTTATGTGGCCTCCCCATGTCTCAATTTCCTCATTTGAAAAATAAGGATTATAATAGTATCTACTTCATAAAGGTGTTGTGATAAATTGGCATCAGAATAAGCACTATGAGAGTGTTTAACTCTTATTATGATTTAAGATTCTTGATTGACTAGCATTCTAGAACACAAGGAGATTCCAGTTGATGGACTGAAAAGATACTAGTGAGGGCAACCTATTAATAAGTGTGAGTTTGAAGAATTGAGGAAAGGTCCACAGGGTAAGTGGGAATTTCAACAGCTTAATAGGATAATTAAATAATGGGCGACAGGAGCATTAAGGGCATTTCAGGTGAAACAAACTAAAAGGCAGGAATAAATGGATATATAGGTGTCCACTCTGTACAGGAATTCGAGGAAGGCATAAAGTGTCTGGAGCCAGATGTGGATGAAAGGCTAAAATTGAATCCTCTTAATCCAGACTATAAACATTTAGCTTTAACTGTGAATTAGAAAGTAATTGCTAGTTGTTTTTGTTTGTTTGTTTGTTTGTTTCCTGGCGAACAGAATAAAGTAATACACTAAAACATTGGATAGAATGGCACAGTAGAGAGAGAAAAAGGAATTTATTATGTGTTAAAGAATATATGGTAGCCCTTAAAGCCAGGAAACGGGTTTGAATTCTGTTCAAATAGTGGGTAAATGAACCTAGTAGCAGCTCAAGACAGGACAAAATACTTAAAACTAGAAAACAAAGCCTAGAAGAAAATCAGTAATGTTTTACTCAAAAGTCATAAAATTCTATTTCACCAGCTCAGTCTCATGTACTTAATCTATCTTCTGTTGTGGTTCAATCTAGTATTTCTTTGATTTATTAAAGCTAAAACTGCTTTTCCTGAAATTAAAATAATATATTAAAAATACCTATTAAATGATCATAGCAAGCTATATAGCATCAGCTAGGTGCTACCTTATAGTATATTCATTCTACTCAGAGTTTCACGCCTAAAGTCAGACATGTATTCACAGATATGTATATACCAGCTGAACTTGCTATTGAAAGTAATTAGATTATTTAAGAAATTTTGTGAATCAATAAAATGTGGGAAAAAAGGAATGGAAAACTGTAGCCACTTGAGATACTGTGAGAGGAGGGTGGAAAATGGCAGAGTGAGAAATAGGAGGAAATATATATGTGTGTATACACACACACATATACATATATATGTATATATGTATATATATAAAACTAGAAATGGAAAATTATTGGCGATAACATGTGTGATTAAGCCACTATGTAGTATATAGTATATTCTGGATGGGAAATCACATTTTGTATGCTGTGATGATGCTCAGAAAATGAACATGTATCAATAAATTAATTAAAAATAAAAATGAAAAACAAAGAATATGTAGTAGAGGAACCAATTGTGGCTCAAGAATTTAAAGTCTGGAGGACTAGGAATGTGTTGGTGCTTTGGGCGGAAATGGGAATATGAGAGCATAGCTCTTTAAGGAAAATGTATCTTTGGTTTGAAAGAGTTGAATGCAGTATATCCAATCAATAGTTTCACAGATGCAACAAAAAGCAATCCATTCATAACCAGGCCAACCACAGTTTAGCCTCCTATTCTTTGTGTTACTGAGCACTTTACTAGCACCGCACATTTAAATGATCAAACTGTGTCATCTATTTTATCAATAGGTGAGGTGATCCAATTTAGAACAAACAAAAAAAAAAGGTTAAGAGTCTATACAAATCTGAGTCTAAAATTTATGACAAACAGTAAGAAAATCCAACACAAAGGAAAACCTTAAAATTCTGAAACGGTGAGATGTTTCTTTTACACATTCAAATTCTCAAAATATGCCTATTAAATAGTTTTAAAGCAAATTTAAATGAAGTGAATTGCAGCATTCATTTTTTGTGGATCAACCAAAGAACTTGAAAAAGAATGAGTCTCAAGTTTCATTATTCTATCATTCTGGTATCTGGACAACATTTACACTCAGCTTAAAAAAAAATTAAAAACAGAAGAAATGTGTCACTTGTAGACTGAAGACTCCTGGATGTAGAAGGCAAAGATTTTCATCTTTTTGTCCAGGAAATAGTCTACCCATGAGACTATTTATCATCATAAATAATATTTACCAGAGTCTCTTGCTTTTAATTGAAATGAGAGCAGAAAAATTGATTGGGAGGTGGGATGGGTGTTATCATATACTTATCACTGAGTGAAAACTGCATTTATGAGCAAATCTAATATTGCCTAGCAATTGTTTCTAGGCAAAGGGTTACTGGGAGCCAGCTCTCGTTGCCTTTCAGGAGTCAGCAGCCTATTTCTATACGTTTTATAGGATACTTGTTTGGGATTATTTGGATTCCAGTTTTAAGGTAATGTTATTCTTAGCAACTCTTAATAATAAATATTTTGATTTTTAGTGATTGACACAGTAAACATACTATTATTATTTATCTCCCTCTAAATATCAATATACAGATTTTTAACTATAATGGAATATAATGTCTGCAGTCAGGAGCTTTCTTGTTTTGAAAAGACACTCATACCTGTTTTTTGGGCATGAACTCTGCCACATTCTTCAGCAATCTTGGACTATATATGCCTAGACTTGCAGCCACCTCTGAGAGGATGAAATACGATATTAAATACATTCCAGATTCCTTTATTTCCTGGAAAATCCATCCCCAGTTTTCTCAGTGTAGTCATTATTTGTACTTCCACTGCTGATCATGGTTTATTTTTTTTTTTTGCCTCTGCCCCTTGCAGTAGAACACAGCTAAGTTAACAACAGTGAAATAAGAATTTCTAGAATACCTAGGAGCTATGCTCAAACTTGATGAGGAGCAGATACATCATATTAGTGGTGCAAGAAGTCTCTCCAGGGAGAACAGGGGTCAGAAAAATAGGAGAGATAAAGTAAATACTATATGGTCGTACGGGAAAAGAACTCCTGAAATTATTGAACACTGCGGCCTCTCTAATTCTGTCCATGTTTCATAGTCCCAGAATCCCCAAAGTATGTAGAAGTATTCTCAAAGTATGCATTCAGTCAACCATCTGGTCCTTCCTTTGTCTCTATGCCCACTGGGAGGCCTCACCCAGTTTCCCTGCTTATTTTCATGTGGCTGTCCAGTCTCTTAGTTCATTCATTCCACTAGATCGTCTAAAAATCCCTTTTCTCCTTCCTTTGCAATCCTACTTTCTCTGTACTCTCAATCCTTTTACACAATTTTCTATCACATTTTTTTCTTTTTTCTTTTCTTTTCTCTTCTCTTTTCTTTTCTTTCTTTTTCTTTTTTTTTCTTTTCCTTTCTTTTCTTCTTTTCTTTTCTCTTTTCTATTAATGGCCAGAGAACATGGGCATTTGACAGAGACAGACAGAAAGAGGAAGAAAGCATCCCTCACAATGGTGCACAGTGACACTACAATTCCTTCTCCTCCATTTCTTCATTCTGTTGGAATTTTAAGCATGTACACATCCCTGGCACGTTTTCTAAGTCATCAGGCCAGGATTTAAACTGAGGTCAGCTGTGTGAGATCTGACTTCCTTAACCAGTAGGCTATGGGGCCAGTTTAACACATCCTTATTTTAATTGAAACCCCAAGGACCTTACTTTATTTTCAGTCCCCAGAGAGTTTCTTTTTGTATTTCATAAACCAAAGCCAGGAGTAGGTTGTCATCCCCATTAGCTCCCTATGCTACCTCCAGACCTTTTTTTATTTTGATGGGAAAGCCTTCTTTATTTGGGAGGCAATACAGCATTTATGAGTATAGAATGTGGATTCAGACCCACATTTTGGAACGATGGAGAGATCATCAAACCTGTTTGAGTTTCAATTTTCACATCTGATGAAGGGGAATAAGAATATCATTTTTCAGGACCAGGAGATGGCATAATGGTTACATCACTGGACTCCAGCATGGCTGACTGTGGTTCGAATCCTGGACCTGGCAGCTTGAAACTTATGCCAGACGCATGTACATACATGCCCAAAATTCTGAGAGTAGAATGGAGGAGAAGGGATTGTAGTGTGGCCATCCACCCTGGTGGGGAGGGGTGTGACTTCTTGCTTTCTGTCTCTCTCTGTCTTCTCTAGCAAATGCACACACCCTACAGCAAAAATCTCCAAATATATACATATACATATATATGATTTATATATATATAAAATCATGAAGATTTAATGTAGTCATTGTTTTCACAAACCTTTACTGATTGCTATGTGCCAGGCATTTTTAAAAGTACTCAACAAAGCAAGTAACACCTACCCTCATGAAGTTGTAGTCTTATGAGGAAATAAAGCCTTTAAACAAGTAAATACATAAATATAATTACAAAATCTGTTATGGAACAGGAAATAACAAAGGTTTAGTTGGAAGTATAATTTAGATGGTAGAGAGTTGATTGGGAGGAAAGTTCTGAGCAGGTGACACTTGAAGTGAGAGCTGAAGGACAAGTAGGGGATAGGCGAAGAAGCAAGGGACAGAGAGGGCACTGCAGAGATTGAAAGAGGCCATCGTGAGGGGGCGAGCGTGTCAGACTGTAGTCAGTGTCGTAGGCTTGGGGCCGAACTCGTGGGACCTGAACATGAAGGCCTTATTGAGTTTTACTTTCATTTTTTAAAAGAATCATTTTATTTAAATTATTTATTATTACTACTTTTAAAAAATGGCTACAGGGCACACGCATTCTCCAGACAGAGAGAGGAGGAAAGTGAGAAAGCTGGGATTCAAACTGCAGTTGGCATGTGAGTCCAACACCGTAGCCATCATGCCACCTGCTGGCCTAATAATATGTTTTTAGATAGATTTAATATAATAACAATATGAATTCTCCTAAAATTAAGTAAATATAATACAATTCCAATTTTAGTCAGAATAGGACATGGGGGGAATTGGATAAAATAACATTAAGGGTTAAATAAAGTAATTAACGTAATAAAGAAAACTAGTGAGAAGTGTCTAGCCTTACCAGATCAAGCATATCATGACCTCCTTATCAACTTTGGTTTGGGCTTAGAAAACAAGTCAGAACAACAAAGGAGGGCTCAGAAATAGATTCTAGAACATTGGAGTATTTGATATGTAACAAAATCAGTTTTCAGTTAAAAGGAGAAAAGATGGGTTATTTTTAAAATGATGCTGATTCAGTATCCTATTAATCTGGGGGGAAGGCAGATCAAAATAAATTAAATTAAAAATAGGTTTTATATGTCTACAAGCATACTTCAAGCAATTGATTAGTCAAGATAGAACC